CCAGCATTACCTCGACTTGACAGATGCAGACGCTGAGACAGGTCTTTGTTCCAGTTCACACAGATGGTAGGAGGCAGCACTAAGGTGTGAGGATCTGAGCTCAGACAACCTGAAATCATCCTCAGCGAAGGGCAGGGCAGGACTCCGGGGAACTTCCAGTCCCTCAGATGCCACTGTGCTAACGTACCACTCCCAGCCCCCTCCTCCTCCGGGTTGCTCTGGGGCAGGAGCTCTTACGACCCCTGCGTAGGTGATTGCAGCAGTGGCAGGCCCACATTCAACCACCTTCACCCCATAAACCTGCTTCCCAGTATGGTGAATGGTGCCTGAGGGCTCGTAATCTGCCTTCTATCTTCCATTGAGTTCGGGGATCCCTCTGTCTCCAGAGGTCTTGAGCCCTGACTTCTCGAATTATATGAAAGGGTTTCCATTTCCAGTAAGCAGTGAGTTAAGTGTGAGCAGTGTCCCCAGCACAGGACCAGCATGTGCAGAGCATTGCTAGAGGTTGCACGGGGCGTGTTCAGAAAACCGCAGGTCTCCATTGTGTCTGGTGCGATCAGAGTGCACGGACCAGGATCCAGCTTTGGAGTGACAGTCTGGAGCTGGGTGTCTGTTCTGCGCGTGGTTGGAGCCCATGGTGGAAGGTTTGGAGCAGCGGAGGGAGTGACTTTCTGATGAGGAGGATGAGAGGAAGAAGGGAGGAGTTAGAGGTGACCCCACCGTTTTTGGCCTGAGAAGGTGTAAGGATAGCAAAATCCTCAATTGAGATGGTGAAGTTAGTGGAAATAATATCACGAGTTAGGTTTTGAACATACTGAATCCGTGATGTTCCAGACTTCTGAGTGGAGTTGTCAAATGGACAGCTGGACATTTGAGTTCAGAGGAGGGATTCAAGTTGGAGACGGCCGTATAATGGCAGCCTTAGAGTAGGGTGGGGTTGTATATCAGATTTAGAGAGAACCTTTATGTTCTGGTGGCAGTGACATGAGTCTAGAAAAGGGGTGGACACAGTGGATTGGGAGTAGAAGTCACCGGAGAAACAAGAAAAGGGGGATTAGTGTTAATGGGGGAAGGGAGGCGAGAAGAATAGGATCTGACAGGTGGTAAAGCCTTCAGAGAAAGAGTGACATGCGATGAATGTTGGTGTGTGGCAGTAATAGAGATGACATGGAAGGGAGGTCGGGCTGGTGCTCATTTCCTTCTGTGGTGACATTTGGTGGGACATGGGGCGGGGGCGGGGGTGGGGGGGTAAATCAAGTTGACAAATTAGCTCAGGGACCATTGCGTCCATGGGCACAGTCACCACACTCGGGGAGGAAGGCCAGTGGGTGTGGCCTTGAATGAGAGTCTAATGTTCAGCCTGTGACTGAAGAGGATCTGGCCCCCTCGGCGTTCCACAGCGAAGTTGAAGGGGCTGGGTGCGCCTGTCACCTGCCCGTGGTTTGGGTTTGCTGGCGTTCAGTCCTGGAGGGAGGATTTAAGAACCGAGCTCACAGGTCCCGGTGGCCGTGGGGCCCTGACGGGCAGGCGTGGTCCTGGGTGCATGAACCAAGCGTTCTCTGGATGCTGTGTCCACAGAGGGAGGGAGGTGTGATCTAAAGAGCGATGGGCACGTGCGGGTGGAATCTGACTTTATGGCCAGAGGGCGCGGGGAGGGGCATGCTGGGTTCACATTGGTGTCCGAGAGCCGTCACCTCTGGGCTCCAGGGAGGGCTTGTGCGCTGCATTCCAGGCCCAGACTATGCAGTGTCTGTCCACCTGTCCACCGGTTCTCGACTCGACTGGACAAAACGACTCCTGGAAAAGGGGCCGCTGAGGAGGAAAGTGTGAGGGATAGACCAGGGGTCCTGGGGGAGAGGCTGCCCTGTGTCATGCGGGGTCGTGTGACTTTTGAGGATGTTTGCTTTTCCCCTGGGAGGGTTGGGGACTGCCTGATGAGGCTCAGAGACTCTTTCTGTGCTTTGCCTTTAAATCAAGTTTAAATCCTGGGTAAGGTCCTGCCCTAAACAGTTTGGCTCAGTGGGTAGAGCGTCGGCGGGCAGACTGAAGGGTCCTGGGTTTGATGCTGGTCAAGGGCATGTACCTTGGTTGTGGGCTCCATCACCAGTGGGGGGCGTGCAGGAGGCAGTGATAGGTGTTTCTCTCTCATCGATGTTTCTATCCCTCTCCCTCCCTCACTGTAAGAAATCATTAAAAATATATTTTTAAATAAAGAAAAAATCAATCCTGGGTAAGGTCCTGAGTGTTAGTTTTTGGCCTGTGCTCCGCTCTTCCTTTCTCTCCAGAGGTTGGTTTCCTGACGAGCCTGGACCCTGGGCATTCCTGTTTCCCTCCCCGCTCGCCTGGGCCCTCGGGGCTCCGCCTCCACTCCCTGCGCTTCCCACTCCTGCTGCCCAAACCCCTTGCCCCAAGGTGTCAAGGTCAGGTGTTTTGTGGGAGCCCAGTGGAGGCACCCTGCTAGGCTTTTTGTGGTTGTTAGTCCTCACCCAAGGATATTTTTCCATTGATTTTTTTTTTTTTGAGAAACATAACACTTTAATAGATGAAATAAACACTTCAGTACGTGCAAGGTACAAACTTGACATTGGAGGGGGAAATCACTCTAGTGTAAATCAGAAAAACACACACACACTCATAGCAGCTTTTCCCCCCGTTTGCAAATCACATGGCGAAGTCAGACTCCACACCAAGTCTGCGCCTCATCCAACTGAGAAATTAACATACAAAAAGGAAGCTACATCCATGTCTAAGGAGTGAGAACTGAGGTAACCTCTCTTTTAATTAGAAAAAAAAAGACCAAAAAAAAAAAAAAATGAACCCAATGACCTCCTTCCTGCTAAACTAATTCATAAGGTTTGGGTGAAGGGCTCCTGAGATCTGCGCCTCATCCAACTGAGAAATTAACATACAAAAAAGGAAGCTACATCGTGTCTAAGGAGTGAGAACTGAGCTAACCTTTCTTTTAATTAGAAAAAAAAAAAGACCAAAAAAAAATGAACCCATGACCTCCTTCCTGCTAATTCATAAGGTTTGGGTGAGGGACTCCTGAGAGGAGCTGAGGGGGGTGGCGGGGTAACCCCCATCTCCAGGCCCCACAGTGTGGGCTGCTGGGCTCCGCCCCGCGGGGGATGTGAAAATGGGATGCATGGCCCTGGCTTCTGGAAGATTCCTCTCGAGCATCTAACAAGGGGGGTTGGGAGCTTCACCTTTGATTTCTTTGGTATAAATTGAGGGGCAGACAATAAGCACCCTCCTTTATTGGGGGGCGGGGCGCTAATCACAGAATTGGAATTCGCGGGCGGTTCAGTCCTGCGCGAAGACCGCTCCCTCAAAGCCTGAGACAGCGGGTGCGGCCTCCAGATACTCGGGCGCAGGCCAGTGCCTCGCTCCCTGTGGTCCCACAGCC